CTGTAAGCTCAAGGAAATCCCTGCTCTCTTTCCTTGTAGGTGAATGAGAAATTCACTTGAGGCAGAAATGCTGATTCTAGACACAGTTTTCTTTTGCCCTTATATTTGGCATCAGAAGTCCAAATATGTATACATTTGGCTAGGGAGTTAGTTAATACTTGGGCTTGCCTGGATTCTTTTATTCTATTCATGTAAGGGTAGGGAAAATATCTAAAATAATTTAGCCACTCTTTGTGTGCTAAAAATATGTCTGCCAGCATGAGTCCATTTCAGATACTCATCATGCTGTTGAACAAATCATTGTTTTCCCAAATAGTTCTCTTTTTGACATTCACTTGGCTCATACCAGGTGAATGCCCTTCCCCTTCCCCTCCCAGCCCTTTCCCTCCCCTCTTCCTCCTCCTCTTCCCCTCCCACCTTCATCTCTTCCCTCTCTCCCCCCTTCCCTGTCCCTCTCTCCCTTCCTTCTTTCTTTCCTTTCATTCCCTTCCTTCCTTCTTTCTTTTCCTTCCCTCCCTCCTTTTTTCCCTCCTCTTTTTTTCTCTTCCAATAGTAAAGAGTGATTTATTGCAGAACAAGTACATATCAGTGGGTGAGGCAGGCAATTCAGGTAAGGATTGGTTCTCTAAATGGAACAGTACACCTCAAGTGTTGAGGTGAGCAGTTGGTAAGGGCCAGACACCCTATTAGTTCTTGAGGATTGGGGTTTTGTCTGATAGGGTAGAGTTACTCAATGGTGTGAAATTGAGGTCCTCTTCTTGTGGCAGAAATAGATTCTATCAGCTGCCTGTGGTTTCCTGAATCAGGTGCTACAAGCACCTCTACAACTGGCCATTATTGTTTAGAGCTCAGCTGACCACCTGGGTTGTGGTTTCATAAATAGAATATCACATGGTACATATTGAAGTATTTTAGGTACATTTTAGACATACAGTTGCTGGACTAGTTTTACAGATTAAATTAGGAAGAAGGAATTGCTTTTCCAGTTGTTTTTTTCTTTTTTTTTAAATAATGGCTTTGTTGCCAAAAACAACATAAATGGAAGTTTTTACATAAAGATCCTAATATTTGGCTTCTCTGGGAAAACTGGGAGATCTTGGCAATCTTAGTTCCACATTTCCTCTGTTACAACTTTCTCCTGCAGCTGAGTGGCAGAACATATATCTGACTTTCTACCTGGGTGGAGCGTTCTGAGAAGGGGGCTCCAGGGCTCTACACACTAAGGCTGAATATCAAGTGGTTAATTGCTGAAATCGCGCTGTTTATTTTCAGGGCTCTCTTTCCTCTCTGTATTCCTGTCTGGGCCTCTGTAGGTATTTGAGTTTTTGACCCTTGCAGCTGTCAGGCAGTTTTTCTTCTTGGCCCCACATTTGTGCTTTGCTCATGCTGTGTGTTTGTCTGGAATTCGTTTCCTGTTAGGCTTGCCTGTTCAGATCTTCACCTCATTTTCAAGGCTGAATCCAAGGCTCATTTTGGTTGCAGTCTTTAATGGTCATTATCATCATAGCTCCTCTCCCCTTACACAGATATCATAGCATTTGATTTTACATGTCATTTTGTTGTCTATTATTTCATGCCTTGTCCTACTGGGATGGTGATATTCTTAAGGTCAGAACATATATCTGTCTGATATTTTATATCTACCACTGTAAAGTGCCAATGCTGACCTCCTCTGCTCATGTGTCTTGTTTGTTACAAGTCAGAGAACAGAAACTTGTTGGTCCACCTAACAGTTATTATAAGGAATATTTATATATGTTAAAAAATAGAAAAACAGGCCTAAGTAAGAAGCCGGATAAGGAAACTGGGGCCCAGAAAGGTTAAGTTTCTTGTCAGAGTCACACAGTTGGGACCCACCTCCTCCCTGCTTTGCTCACACTCTACTCTTATGCTTGACCATAACCCTACAGCTTTTCCTCAAGGCTTAGCATTAACACATCAAAATAAGATAATGACCAGAGTTACTTAAAACAGATACGACAAATTGGCAAAGATGATAGATGCATATTGAAGGAATAGCCAAGAGTTGGAAATACAGAATGTCCTATGCTGTTGGTCTTGTACACAATGGAGGGAGCAGTGTATGTGGTTGACAAACATGTCTGAGGCTGCACTGTTGAGGCTGAGGAGCTGATGGGATCAGGAATAAAAAGTAAGCAACTTGGTGGGGCTGGATCTGGGAGCAGTAACAAATGATATGGGGAAGGGGAGGGCTAAAAGATTGGGGCTTAAAGAATTTTGCCTTTATCCTGAGGGGACAAGAAGCCTTTAAAGACTTTTAGGGAGGCCTCCGGTCCATGACATAGAAAGACCTGGTTGCTGGAGCATAGATGTGGGGAGAGCTGGAGGTAGGGACTTAGGAGGCTGCTGCCACAGGAATCTTGGCCAGAAGTTAATGGTGACTGAAACTTGAGTCAGTAGCTATGGAGAAGGAAAGAAGTAGATGGATTCAAAAGATTTTGGAGCCTTTCAGTTACAGGGATGACAGCATTCTTTCTGTTTTTTTTTCCTTAAAGAGCTTTTACCCCTGTCTTCCAGTTAATCCACAGGCAGGAAGATGGGCTGACTTACTTGATGTTTGACTGTACGTTGCCAGGGAAATGTCCATAGTTTAGACTCAAGTGTGTCTGGCACCATTGTCTTTGGCTACATAGATGTGACCCTTGGAAAACAAGGACATCTTTTCACTGCTAACTGTTCCGCCACCTTGTTCTAGTTGACATATGTAAACTGTCTCAACAGAATATACCAGTTTTCCTGTTTGTGTAAGCACGCTGTGTGCTGTGGTCAAGACATTCTGTTCCTCAGTACATATAAATCTCTCTGCATTCACGTTAGCCATCACACGAGCAAACTGTATTTATTCTGCAGCTGTAAGAGTAAGTGGATGGTAGTTGGGATCGGTGTTTTCAGCTTCTTGAATATTCGTTCTGAGTTTTAAAGACATTTAGCCATCTGTTTATGACTTGAAAGTGAATGTTCTAAGTAGAGGCTATGAATAATACATGAAATATGTATTGAAAGGGGTATTCTCTATAATGAATTGCTACTGTACATCCTTCTCAGCTGCTGTTCCAGCCTTTAAAATGTCTAGTGAAAGCAGGTATTATTTTTAAGGAATTGAAAAAATAATGGCAACTATGGATTTTTATCTGGATTATGTCTTTTTACTAAGACACCCTAGGGTGTCTTCAGCTGCATTTAAAAGAATCTAATTTTTCCCTACAGGAGTTTTACGCATGTGTTTAATTATTTACATATGATATATATTTATTGACTATTGTATTATAAAATAATTTATATAAAAATAGAGTGTTGAATTCATTGTTGAACTTCATTTTGGAAATATAAATTACATTAAAATTAACAGTTTTGAAAGCCTTATGTTGATTTTCTTTGGCCAGATATAGTGGATGCTTACAAAGGATTCAGTGTACCAAACTCTTCTGTAATAGAACAAATTATATCTTCTCCCCTCTAGAAGAGGCTTGATTGATTTCAGAGGGCTCGGTTATTTTTTTTTTTTTCTAGTAAGGTTTCAGTTTTCTGACAACAGTTTTAGAATTGGATGCATATATGTGAATTAAATTACATAGCAGTTTTTCAAAGTATACTTTTTCTCAGTATTAACACCTGTGTAGTAGCAGTTGGACAAAGACTCCATTTGTCAGTTTTCATTTCTTTTACATGTAATTGAAATCCTATCGGGAGTTGAGTATATTTAAATGCAAATAAAATGAAACAGTCAACGTATTTTCATTTAGGGAAGTAGTTACAATGTTATTAAGTCACACAGTTGCATAACTGAATATTATAGGCCTAAAATAAATGCTAATACATTCTGACCTTGGTTTGTATTTGAGGTTGTTCTTTGGTAATTGCTGTCACCCTGACAGCCAAAAAAGGGAACTAGCAAAGGAAAATTATATCAGACCAATTCCCAGGAATCACAATGCATAGTGTTCTGCATTATTTTGAGTGTTGACTACTAGTTCACCATCCAGTGGTCCTTGATTTAAGTAAGCAATAAGTATGATAGTCTTGAGTAGTTGGTACTTTAACTTATTACTACTTTAAATCTTTACATAGAAATGTAAGCAGGATTGTATCCATTAATAATCACTGGTTATTCTCTTCTGTACTGTTACATATAGAGATAATTCTTGCATTTATGCCTATATGCATATACAGTATGCCTAATTAATTTTCTCACATAATTTTAATATAAAAGAAGAGCACTTATTTTAATTATTTGTAATTATTATTAAGAAGAGAACTATTTTAATTCTATAAATCTTTCCATCTAAAAATTATCCAGAAAGCCAGTGTTATGAAGAACTGTTCTGCTGATGGAGCTATTCCTTTGCATTGATTGCTGCATGTGACAGACCAGGCTTTGTACCCCTGGGCCTGTGGATTTGGCATTATGATTTTGGCTAAGGTGTTAGTGAATACTATTTAGTCAAGGATATGGAAATGTGGAAGATGGGTAGTATTTATCTCTTATTAAAAATTAGATCTCTAAATATTGACAACTTGGAATTAAAGAGGCTAGAAAATTATGATAATATAAAAAGGAGCTATGCTGCATACTTCTCTGATTTTCTCAGTGGTATTCTTATGAGTGATCTTCTCAAATAAATCTTGCCTGAAAGCTAAGATATTTTACATTCAGGGCTTTTGAAATATGTTTCTGTTTTCATTGGTATTATAGTCCTTTATGATTACTTACGACTTTTGGCACCTTTTGAGTGGAAATTTTAATTTGATGTGCTGAGCTTTTGGACTGGTGGGCTTGCTGATCCATTCACTACCTGTGGATGGTGTTTTCTGCCATATAGAGCATGGCAGACCACCCTAGCATATGCCTGAGAGCTCCATGAACATGTTTATAATTTATCACCATCCTAAAGTTCACCAGGAAGAGATATGTTTAAAAAGTCAGAATTTATAAGTGATGTCTTACATAAAATAAGGTTAATTTTTCTTTTCCCTTTCAGATTTTGGGGTAAGTGCATTCTTAGCAACAGGGGGTGATGTTACACGGAATAAAGTAAGAAAAACATTTGTTGGCACCCCATGTTGGATGGCCCCGGAAGTCATGGAACAGGTAAAGAAAATAAATGTTGCCTTCATTGATACAGTACAGTAGTACATATCATTAACAAACTAACATTTCATTCAAATCAGCCATTTTAGTAAAATGTGTCATGTAATTTAATTCTCTATCTCTAGCCCTTAGAAAACTTACGTGAAAGTTGTCCACAAACAGCTCTGAATTTCTGACATAATGGACATTGTGATATGTAACATGCCTGCTATATCACTGTGTTTCTTTTTCTGCTTTTTTTTTCCTTCTCTTAGGTGAGAGGTTATGACTTCAAGGCCGACATGTGGAGTTTTGGAATAACTGCTATTGAATTAGCAACTGGAGCAGCGCCTTATCACAAATATCCTCCTATGAAAGTAATTACTGTTGGAAATAATGTCGGGTTTGAAATGTGATTGGGTAGCACCCATTCTCTATTCTCTTGAACGTATTTGTTTTTCTCTTAGACATGTGGAGAACTAATGGAAGAAGGCAGCCAAGTTGAATGTTGTCTCATTTTCTCAGTCGATAGTACAGACAAAAGTAGTACAGTTCTCAGTTTTGAAGCTCAATTTACATTCTTAGCACAGAGGAATCTGATCAGATTGATTGATGGAGGTTGATAGTTCTTAGGTCCCCAAAGAAAATCTAAGAATAGATTATAGTGATGTCTTTTCTGATGGATTTCCCAGATCTTTATGCCTTTTAAAAATTTTTTTAAAAATGGTTTACACTATTTTCACCCCTGTTCTCTCACAGTGTAAGGCTCGTGGCTCATCTGATGCGAAGTGAGTCACTGTGTTTTTAGGCAGCAACGTATACTTTGGAAACTATTTTCAGATTTTTCATTATTCTTCTATCTGGCCTACCTCATTATCTTTTTTACTTCTAAGATACTAATTTTCCCAACTGGATTTTGTTTTAAGGCTGAAATTTTGTTAAGTAGAAATTATGTAAGCATTTTATGAAGAAAATGGTCTGTGGTTGTTTCATGGTTATTTTATGTTTATTAAAAGAGGAGAATTAAAAATTTAAACCTGAAGATAATAAAGTTCAATACTTTTATTGATTTAAAAAAAGTGGGGGCTGTGGGTATAGAGCAAGTACTAAGCAAGTCAAGTGTGAGACTCTTGAGTTTGATTCCCCAGCACTTCCAAGCCCCCAAATTAGTACTTCCTTATTGTAGAAAATTTAGAAAAACAAGAATAAAGAAGAAAAATACTCACCCACATTCTCATCAGCCACAATCTCTATTAAAGTTATAGTGTAGTTAACTTCCTCCTTCCCATGCTCCTTCCATCCCTTCTTGGGTCTCACAAGTGTTCAGCAGTACCTGAGCTACACTCCTAGCCCATTATTTTTTCTACATATATTTGTCTATATATTTGTAATATAGTTAAAATTTTAGTATAATATGTATGTATATGTGTGTTGGTGTGTGTGTGTACATACCTGATTTATTATTTTTTTAGTACAAATCTTGAATGAAAACAAAAATGACTTTTTGGAGAAAAAAGGACTCAGGACTTTTTATTCAATCAAATTTTCTTTCTCCATTTCTTAGTATTTTCCACTTGAATCCAAAGTGATGAAGGACTTGCAGAATGGCTCAAGTGGTAGAAAACCTGCCTAGCAAGTGTAAGGTCATGAGTTCAAAGTGATGTTTGCTAATCCCAGCCTGAAGTCCATTAGGACATTTCTTCAGAGTTCCCAGTCCCTTGCATTCTCCTTTTGGCTATTATCCTCTATAAACTGTAAACTGTCACTTTCATCCTTCATCTATTCATACATATGAAAGTGTTTGAAGAGAGTTTTGACATGTATAGCACTTGCATAAATTAAGGCTGATTTATGCATTAACGAGGTGTATTCATATTGTAGGTCAGTGGTTTGCTATACAGTCTACTGTTTTTGAAGCAAATAATTTTGATGTTAATATGAAAGAAGAATTTTTACCTTTTTGACTTGAAATTGTATTTTATTTTGTGTTATCCCCCTCGAAAGCAGCATGGTTTTTTGATCTGATTATTTCTTTTCATAACTCAATTATATTCTTTCAGTATCTTGTCTCAGTTTTTCTAAGCCTTTTGAGCAATTTTCTGTATGTTTTCTCAGCTTTTTGCTTTTTGAAAGGAAATCATGTTACCTCTTGGGATATTGTAGTTTTATTTTTAGTGTTGGTAATATGTTTCAGAAACCCCTAGTACAGGCATTTCCTTGGGTATGAATGGCTTGCATACAGGAACCTTGCTTTTTCTCTCACCACCACCCTCTTTCCTTGCTGAAGCTCTGTGATCCTTAAGGGACTGTGAGAGCCAGTTTGCAGAAAGCTGTGTCCTGGCTGCTTTGGGAGTTAATTCTTAACACATAGAACAAATTTTCTAAGTTCTGTCAATGGAATAACAAAAGGCTAAAGGGTACATGAACAGATTTGCAAAGGGACATGAATGTTTTCAGCACACAATTTCTAGAAAGTTAAGATCATGGAAAATCATGTTTGTACCTAATCAAGGAGGTTCTTTGATGCTTATGTAAAAAATTAAAGTCTTCACTGTAGTAATTGGTAAACTGAGATTCTATCTTCATATTTGTTTCTGCTGCAGGTGTTAATGTTGACCTTACAAAATGATCCACCCACCTTAGAAACCGGAGTAGAGGATAAAGAAATGATGAAAAAGTATGGCAAGTCCTTTAGAAAATTACTTTCACTGTGTCTTCAGAAAGATCCTTCTAAAAGGTATGTCAAACTTAGTGGAGGAGCTAATGACCTGTTTGAGTCTTGACAAAGCTTTTTTTGTGGTTGGGCAAAGGCTTCTTGAGAACACTGAAAGGCACTTCTAGTCCCAAGGGAACCCTGCTGTGGCCCCTGGATTTCCATTCTGATAGTGGAAGACAGCATGAGAACAAGGGAGAGAGAAATGAATGGAGGACAAGAGGGGAGGCAGAGCAAAATTTTTGTTAATAAGATTCATATGCTTGTTAGGTGTGGGCTCTGTCATCAAAGGTCGTGAAGTAAAACAGAACTCAGAGGAAACTGGCAGTGCTGCATTCAGAAGCAGAGCTATTATTCTGCAAGTGTAGGTTGAGCTGACTTCTCAGGATTTGAACATAGGCCAGCTCTAGTCTAAACCAAGCAGAGCTGTTGAATTTTGCATGAGCTTCTCTTTAGTTGCAGAACAAGTTGTTTGTGCTGTTTAAAAGATCATCAATAAAGAAGATTAAGGAGATTTTTACCTAGAAAGATTAGTCATATAAACAGAAGCAAATGGTTTCAAACTAACTTCAGTTTTTCCTCTTTATTCTTGTGTTATTGCCCTATATGGTAGTGTCTCTGTTTTCTGAATTTCTTTCTTCTTTCTTCAGTTCTGTGACTTTGAAATATCCTGGGTGGTGTGATAATGGAGCCTAGCGTTAATAATGTGAACCATATACGGTCCTTGCCATAGTAAGGTCCATTTGTGGGTTGTGTTTGACATTATCTCATCTTCTATTTGGAAAGGCTTCTGTTTGTCCTAGGCCACCCAAGGTTCTGATTTTATATGTAGATTTTAGAACATAATAACTGACTTTTCCTCAGAAAGTTTCTTTTTAGGGATGGGCCCTTTTGTTAGACGTGATTCCTTTATTCTTATCTAAAATTCTTTTTGAAACTTGTTAAGTCTTTTCAACTTTACACAGTAAATTACTGTTTGAGTTAGGCTACCTTCCTCTAGATTAAATACAGATTTCATGATTTTTTTGTGATCGTCAAAAAGACTACTTGTGATTAAGCATCTTAAAAATATTTACTAGAAATAGTACCTGTAGATTGTTTTTGCCTAAACATTTCAGTTTTCCCTTTTATTAATTTGTATGGCTTATTTTTCCTCCAGTGGTTCTTTGAGGTTATTTTTTCACTCTCATTTTAGACTAAAAATCATTTAGATTCTAATTTTGTTCTTCAACATTTGCTTTTCCTCTCCTTGGATTTGGTGCCATTGTCAAAAGTAAAATTTTAACATCTCCAAGAAGACACAGCTTGATCTGCCACAGCCCGTGAAAAAAGTACTTGTCCTTCCAGTTCAGGGTTATTACTGATGGTGTTTGAGATTTTTGAACTAGTTGAGATCCCGCCTAGTGGCTGTGGTGAGTAACGTCACCCAATCCCATCTTGAGAAATTGGTTCTGTAGGGAGAATTGTTTATTACTTAATGATAGAGCAATCTATTTCTTTATGAGGTTTGTGATTTGGTCAAAATAAATAAGCTTTACCTGTAATATATTTAATGTATCATTTTTGTTTTTTTAATAATCTTGAAATTATTCCTAGATTTTGTTCACTATACAAGCTCAAACAGCAGATTCCCTGTACCACACACACACATGTGTACACACACACACCACACACACAAAATCAATCCTTTAGAAAAGACCAATACATCCTGTATTCAAATTGTCATGAAGTCCTTTCCATCAGAGTATTCTCTAGATAGCATAATGAGTACAAAGCATTAATAGTAAGGACTTCTTTCAGGTACTTTCTACACAACCTAATCTGTCCTTGCAATTATGGACTCTTCTCTGTTACAAACAGTTGCAGACTATTCATAGTACATAAACTCCTCAGGTGGCTCTTTTAATGAAAAGACATGAATATTGAGGATGTATGCAAGGACTTTAGGAAAAACCACAAAAAATGATTCATGAAGTGTAAGAATGGATAAAAGTAGAATTGTTGAATTATTTTTATATAGGATATGATTTCTAAAATGCATACTCATTACTAAATATATAAGAAAGCATTTAACTCCATGACACAATTCTGAAACTGTGAATATTCTAGAATATTATTAGTCCCCTCTGCTTTTGTTTATGATGTTCAAGACTTCTTGCTCTTACTCTGTTCCCCTTCCACACTCTCTGTAGTTATTCAGGTGCCCATCTTTTTACAGTTGGATTCCACTGGTTGAGATAAAGTTCTGCTTTACCCTCCTCACCTTTGTGACTTAATTTCTTTTTTATTGCAGTACCAGGGTTTGAACTCAGAGGGTACACCTTGAGCCACTCCACCAGCCCTTTTTTGTGATGAATGTTTTTGAGATAGGTCTCACAAGCTATTCTGCCCAGGTTGGCTTTGAACCATGATCCTCCTTATCTCTGTCTCCTAAATTGCTAGGATTACAGGCACGAGCCTCAGGTGCCTGGCTGTGGCTTCCTTTCCTTGTCTGTAAAATAGGTTTAATAATACCTATTTCATAGAATAACTCTGAGGATAGAATGAGATTGTGCATTTAAAGCAGACAGCACAGTGCCTGGGGATTCCTTTAAGTGCTAGAGAAATTGAGATTGACATTCATTATTTGGCTTTTTTCCCTGACCAAGTGGAGTTGTTGGAACTTTATGCAGTAATTACAATATGCTGATGATATGTCATTTGTAGCATTTATAACCATGTTTACAGTTGTTGTCTTACACATCCAAATTCCTCATGAATTCATAAATATTTTAGAAGAAGAACCTGGACCAGTGATCTTTATGTGAACAGGGTCTGGTTTGTGTTGCATAGTCATATATATTCCTTGAAAACCTGGAGATAAATGGAAGTTTGCAATTTGGGGGTGATTTGAATCTACTGAAAAGAGTTTCAGGAACAGAAACCCCATTCAGATGGGTTGAGGAGTCAGCAGAAAACTTTTGTTAATATTTATTTATTTCTGTTTTCTGCCTGCAAGTGGAAAGTAGTTGACTGTTACTTAATCCCTGGTATTCTTGAGAACCTTTTGAACAGTGAATGAAAAAAAGTACAGCAGGGAACAGTAACCAGGACAGATTCACTGTCAGGCTCACTGTGCAGGGACTGTACTTTTTGACAATATTGGGAGCTCATGGGACTTTCCTTACATGAGAGAGCAGGGGTGTTGGGGCCCTTTGCCTCATGGATGCCTGTGCTTTGTGTTAGCACAGTATTGTTTATATTTGCATAAAAGAATGTCTTGTTATTTCTTAAAAAAAGTAGACCTTGACCTTATAGATTGTGTGCTTCCTCTGGTTGGCATCTTATAAAAAGAATCAGTATTTTCCTTGAAATCAAGTGGGTGAATGTTGCTTAGATTAATCCATCAGAAATGAATAAGACTTGAATATTTCTTTGCAGTGGAAGGGAGGGATGAGAAAAGCAGCTCTGCTTGAGGCCAGGGTCTGTAAACACTTATTAATGCAAGTTGTTAGAACTGTTTAAACTGTATCATATTCATCTTGAATCCTTTGAAAATTAATTTTAAGTCTTAGTGAACTTTGGTTCATCCATATGTATTAACTGAATACTTGAATAAGAGATTTTTCTTCTGAAAATGTTGGCACTTGCAGACTATTGCATTGTTTTTGAGATTTAAAATTGAGCCATCATTCAAAGTCTGGCAGCTGGTAGTATTTTAGCACTTCCTGTGGAAGTACTTCTATTTCTGTCATGTGTTGCCTTGCTTGATGATTGTTAGTAGCCATGTAAGACATGGATATGCAGGATTCTTTCTCTTGTAGTACTGTTAAAAGGCAGGTAGGGTTGTTAGTTCCATATTAACCATATATTTGTTAGTTATTATGGCATAAAATGAAAATAAATAATAGACAAAAGCCCAAATGGGAAAAACCTAAGATGAAATGGGCAGCAGGTATCTATCTCTGCTTTTCTTACAGCTTCTGTCACTTTTTTTTTCTCTTGATATTTTCCTTATTTCTTCTAGTTCCCTTTCCCCATACTTTCTCATGGAGATAATTTAGCACATGTGGGATTTTACCCTAAAGTTGTAAACTCTTAAATGACTTGATCACAAAGGAATCAGTGACCTGCTATTGAGTTATTCTCAATGCAGAGTTGGAATGACTGATAACTTAAAATTTAAACCTATGAAAAAAGAATGTGCATTCTTTAAACCACTTCTACTTTCTTTCTTACTTATTTTGAACTCAGGGCCTCACACTTGCTAGGCAGGCACTCTACCACTTGAGCCACTCCACCAGTTACTTCTGTTTCTTACATCATGGTGTTCCGTATTTGTGATGTAAGGCTTATGGTGGAGTGGAGACCAGAGAAAGGGATTTTCTCTGCAGTGTGCTTTTCCCCTTTACATTTTTGGTTACCATAGAAATGACCTTGCTGGGGAAGGGAAAGCATTTTTTCCAGCCTATAACTCAAGGTATATCCAGCATTTCCCAGCCTTCTTTGTACTTTGGTTGATCCTACACTTGACCTTTGTTGTACAGGAGGATGGTGTGTGTGTGTGTGTGTGTGTGTGTGTGTGTGTGTGTGTGTAGGGTACATGCAGAGCAGAGAGAGAAGCATTTTGGTTTCTCCCAGCACCTCTACTGCCCCCATTGCTAGCACAAGTCTTATTTTCCTTGAGTCTTCTGTTCCCCACTTTCTTGAGCAGATGCTTGACTTTGGTGCTGACTACATTGAGCTGCAGGAGTTGTACTGTGCCCAAATGTCTTGCAGCATCACTTTCACCTTATGTTAGATTATGGTAGGCAATTGAGTTATAGCAGTTTTGTGTTCTGTGCTAGGCATTGGGAGTATAAAAATTGATCCTGTGTCTTTCTTGCCTTGGAAAGGCTCACAACCCAGTGAAGGGGAGGCAGGGGGACATGAATACTGATAAATATGGGAGTATAGGTAGAGCAGTGTGTGAGCACTGAGTTGGGAGCAATGAATTGCACTTGTGGCAGCTGGGAGAGAGATCCTAAAATGACATCTAAATTGTTTCTTGAATGATGAGCAAGGTGTGTCAGTTAGTTATGAAAAAGTTTGAGGCAAGAAAAGCAGTGTGTGGTGTGTCATGAAAGAGTGAGAGATGGGTGTGAACATCATTGCAGCTGAAGGAGTGTGTAGGTATAAGGGAGATGTGTATGGAGGAGTCAGGACTGAGATAGCTCGATTTTATCACAGCCACCGAAATCTCTGAGCATGGATAGGAGAGGGCCAGGTGTTTGCTTTTCTTTTTTCATTTAGATACTACCATTGTGGATAATGGGTTGAAATGAAGAGAAGTGGCAGGGAGACAAACTGGAGGCTACTTTATCTGCATTAGCCAGAGATGAGGGCATTAAGGTTTCAAACAAAATAGAGGCCTTGAATTCCTTAATTGTATTCATTTTCTTAAGGTGGTTTTGACATTTTTAAAATTAAATCTAAGTTATTTGGTAGGCTTGTTCTGTTTTTTCTTTGTTTGAGTACATGGTCTCACTACATTGCCCAGGCTGATCTTTAAGCTCCTGGGCTCAAGTCATCCTCTCTCCTTAGCCTCCCAGTTAGTTGGTACCAACTTCTTGGTTTTAAAATTTTTGTTTCATGTTGTGTGGTGCTAAGCCCTGGACACTAAATCTTGCTCAGTTCATTGTGTATCTACGCTGTGTTCTTTCTGTAGCCCTTCTCCCTCCACCCACAGTTCAAAGGCTTGAGTGTGCTGCTCCTCTTAGAGCCTAACAGGGAGCTAGCTGACCCTTCCCTGCCAGGTTGTGCGTGGTTGAAGGTGCAATTTCCATCTGTCCTGTTCACTGCCCTATGCCCAGCACCTAGCAAAATATCTGACAGACAGTGGGGTGCTCAATAAATACCTATTGAGGCAATGAAAGAGTGAATTCGGAATCGCTAGAGGCCCAAAACATTGCTGGTGATCAGGGAGAATATATAATAAAACAGCAAAGTTAAGTGATGTAAAGTGGTTAGATCCTTTTTTTCCACTTTTAAGTTCTTTCCTATTTTTTTTTTAACAAGGTGCAAATTCATGAGTTTAATGAGCTTACTAAGAAGTATGGCCTACCTGTTGTTTAGACTCTATTTATTCAAAGCAATTAGCAATTAGCAGCTGTTGATAGTAGTGCTTTGTCAGGTACTTGTAGCCAGTGTTGAAACTTGAAATTTGAGGGGAAAAAAAGCAATAACAATTGAAATAGAACATTTCTTTGCATAGAGATACAGATTATGGCCCCCTGTAGGCTTAAGTAGTTTGACATTAATATGCTTACTCAAGTTTTCTAGTTGCTTTTTTATGCTTGAGTTTGGTCTCTGGAGACATTTTAGTGGAGCTTCCTAGTACCAAAACAGTAGTTTCAATGACATGGACCATTTTTTTTTTCTCACATCTCATAATTTATTTCAGTTCTTATATACCATCTTACCTTAGGATTTTCCTACTTTGTCTTCTGTCCCCTGGGTATTTTCATATATATATATATATATATATATTTTTCTCATTTATTCATATGTGGATACATTGTTTGGGCCATTTCTCCTCCTTACCTCCCCCCAACACACACCCCCACCCTCTTTCAGGCAGAATCTGTTCTGCTCTTATCTCTAATTTTGTTGAAGACAGAGTATAAACACTAACAAGAAAGACAAAGCATTTTTGCTGGTTGAGATAAGGATAGCTATACAGGGAGATTCCTAGCATTGCTTCCATGTACAAATGTGTTACATTCTAAGTTGATTCATCTCTAACTGACCTTTTCTTTAGTTCCTGATCCTCTTCTCATATAGACCTCTATCGCTTTAAGGTTTCTGTATTAGTTCCTCTACATTGAGGATACCAAATCCTATCATGTTTTTTTGGTTTCCTACCTATCCCCATACCTCCCATGTGTGCTCTCACCTTATCATGTGACCCAAGTCCAATCACATTGCTGAATTTGCCCTAGGTCTAAAGTCCGCATATGAGGGAGAACATACAATTTTTGGTCTTCTGAGCCTGGCAAACCTCACTCAGAATGATGTTCTCCAGTTCCATCCACTTACTTGCGAATGATAAGATTTCATTCTTCTTCATGGCTGAGTAGAATTCACTGTGTATAAATAAATACCACATTTTCTTAATCTATTCATCAGTATCTTGGAAACAGCATCTTGGCTGTTTCCATAACTTGGCTATTGTGAATAGCATTTCAATAAGCATGGTTGTGCAAGTGCCTCTGGAGTAACCTGAGTTGCATTCCTTTGGGTATATCCCCAGGAGTGGGATTGCTGGATCATATGGCAGATCTATGTTTAGATTTTTAAGAAACCTCCAAACTTTTTTCCAGAGTGGTTGCACTAGTTTGCATTCCCACAGCAGTGTACGAGGGTTCCTTTTTCCCCACATCCTTGCCAACACCTGTTGTTAGTAGTGTTTTTAATGATGGCTGTTCTAACAGGGGTGAGGTGAAATCTTAGTGTGGTTTTGATTTGCATTTCCTTTATGGCTAGAGATGGTGAGCATTTTTTCATGTGTTTTTTGGCCATTAGAATTTCTTCTTTTGAGAAAGTTCTGTTTAGTTTAGTTGCCCATTTCTTTTTTGGTTCATTAATTTTGGGCAAGTTTAGTTTTTTGAGTTCCCTGTGTATTCTGGTTATCAGTCCTTTGTCTGATGTATAGCTAGCTTTCAAATATTTTCTTACATTCTGTGGGTGATCTCTTCAGTTTAGAGACCATTTCTTTTGTTGAGCAGAAGCTTTTTAGTTTTATGAAGTCCCATTTGTCTATACTTTTTCTTGGTTGCTGAGCTGCTGAGGTTCTATTGAGGAAGTCCTTGCCTGTACCTGTTACTTCCAGAGTGTTTCCTGCTGTTTCCTGTACCAACTTTAGGGTTTGGGGTCTGATATTAAGGGCAAGGACCGTTTCTAAACTTGTACCCCCTCCCCAATATAGTACTATTTATACTTCTGGTAAGTGTTTTCTAAGAGAATACCTAATGATACTTAGTAATGCTTTCCTCCTCCATATTTTTTCTTATGAACAATTTAAAACATGCAAAAAATGTGAAAAAGTACAGTGTTTACTTCTATGCCATCAGTCATAAATTCAGTAATTATTAACATTTCCTGTATTTGCTCTGTCTGCATTTTGTTTGTTGAACTATTCTGAAAGTAATGGACTTAGTGTTTCACTGTGTACTTCCTACAAGTAAGAACATACTGCTGCCTAACCTCAGTACTTTCCACATGTATGAAAATGAACAGAAATCTTCTAAAACTGTCTGCTATTAACACGTCTCTAGTTATATCCAGATGTCTGCTATAGCTCTGTCCCTTCCTTTCCAAATGCAGTGTTCAATCAGGGGTGATGTGTTACATTTGGCTTTATGTTTCGCTAAGTCTTCTGTGATGTAGAATACTTCCTCACATCACCTTACCCACTCCTTTTCTTTCTGAAGGATATCGGACCATTTGTCTAGTGATTATCCTATAATCTAGATTTCTTTCTGCATAGCCTTCCCTTTCCTTTTCCTTTCCCTTCCCTTCCATTCCCCCTTCCCTTCCCTTTTCCTTCCCTTCCCCTTCCCTTCTTCCTTCCCTTTTCCCTTCCATTCCCCCTTCCCTTCTCTTTGCTTCCCCCTTTCCTTCCCCTTCCTCCTTCCCCCTTCTATTCCCCTTTTCCCCTTCCTTTCCCTTTCCCTTTCCTTCCTTCATTCCTCCCTCCTTCTTCGCCTGTCCCTTTCCCCTTTCCTCCTTCTCTTCCTCCTCCTCCTTTTTTTTTTTTTTTTGGCAGTTCTAGGGATGGAACTCAGGGTCTTATTCATGCTAAGCAAGTGAGCTACCCCTGCGTACACCCCCAGTTCCACATGGCTGATTTTTTTTTTTAAAAAAAGGATTTATAGATGAAGGAAGCTATTCTTTATGGAAGAATGTCAGTTAAAAATAGAAGGAATGCTAAAACTAGAAAATCTGCATTCTATTACCTTTATGAAGTAATTGTTAAAGGTAAAGATGCTAAACCATTAGGGGAAATGTTTTTAAGAACACGATAGTCACGTAGTGCCAAAATATTACCCGACAGAATCCTTGCTAATTGCAGTGGGGGAAAATGTACCTTTATAACGGAGAGCTTTGGAGCCTGGGGACCAACAGGTAAACTTAGCATCACTAACAGTGGAATAGCGTAAAAGTACTTGCCTCTTAGGTACTGCCATAAGGGCTATGTGACACCATGTACAAAGCACAGCTTGAGTATCTCAGATATGAAGTGATTGGGGCCAGAAGTAGTTTGGATTTTAGAATATTTGCAGACTTTATCGGTTACGTATCCCTAATCTGAAAATCCAAAACCTGAAACCATTTGAGCATAATGTCAGCACTCAATGCTTTATGAAACCTAATCAAGCCTTCAGACCTAACAGTTTAGAGGAAATAGAGATGTTATATGACACCATGAGGAAACAGCCTATCCAGTAGTGATTTTAAATAGATTTACATTTTCTTTATTTACCTTACATTTACCCTCCCCTTGTACACTTGAGATGAGTTCATTCACTAAGCAGACAGAACTGGACACAAGATCTGTGAACCCTTTAAAGTAACTGCTGCTCTACTGCCACTCCACTGCTGCTCCTGGGGAATCACAGAGCACAGAAGATAATACAGATACTTTTAAGGGTCATATTGCCACTTGTATGGTTTCTTAATAAATATAGGAAGTTAGCTCACAGTCTGCCACCTTTTAGAAACACTGAATTCACTTAGTGAAGTGTAAGAATGAAGGATGGAAAATTGATCATGCCCCAAGCATTTCTTAGTGGAGTTTATGTGTTTTATAGCAGAGGTACTTAGAACTGTACAGTTGGCACTGTTCTGTTTGGTGCCAGCTCGTGATTAACTTAGTCTCTGGGTTTTCTAGTCCTAAACCTGGTCTCCCAGAAAAACTCTTAAGGTTAAGTTGTATCATCAAGGCAGTGTATTTATTAAGTGGTCATTGTTTCAACTCTAATTTATTATTGATCTTTCAGGCCCACAGCAGCAGAACTTTTAAAATGCAAATTCTTCCAGAAAGCCAAGGTAACATGCTTAAAAACCAAAGTAAATCTGATATTTTGAAATCACTATGAATTTGCATGTATCTTATTTGGTGTTAAAATGTTGGGTCATTTGTTTTGCAGAACAGAGAATACCTGATTGAGAAGCTGCTTACAAGAACACCAGACATAGCCCAAAGAGCCAAGAAGGTAAGCGCCACCTGTCCTCTTCACCCTGCCGGTAGTTGGTCTCCACCCCAGGTTAATAAAGGCCATAGAAAAAACAGGGAAACAGTTCCCACATAGTCAGGGTATTAGAGGCTATCTGATTTGTGATTACTCAGATAGCTGCATTTGCCTTTTTGTTATCTCAGTTTGTTGTTGGCTATTTGGGTGTAGAAACAATGTGAAACTCACATGATTTCATTTTTCCATTTAAATATCTTTCCTTTGAGTTTTACAGAAAGGAATTCAGTTTTTAAACGCAGTTTAAAATGATGAGATGAGAAGTTCTGTTTTTAATGATGGTTTGAGTATTTGTGGGATATAATTGCTTTCTCATAAAAGACCTGTGATTCCTTTTGTAGTCTACTTATGTTAAGTCAGTTGCATTAATGATTACTTGGAAAATTTTCCACTGTGGGTTTAAGATTTTTAAAATGGTATGCGTGGTTGAGTATATTTATGTACTTGTTTACTTATTTGTTATTACGGATTTCATTATGATATGAAACCTAGCAAAATGTAACCATATGTTTGGTTCAGTTTTCTATTAAAATTATACTAAATATTTACAAATGAAAATATAGTCACAGGATTTGAAAGGGAGGTACACTTATCTACAGATAAGTAGTTTAGTATGGCTGATAACTAAAGTGCACTGAAGATGAGAATTATGAGAAAACAGCCAATTTCATAAATCTAGAGAGACAGGATAACACTACCATGGGCCATTCTCTTTCCTGTAAGATTCTTCAAGAGCTACTTTATAGCCTCCCTTCACTCCTCTGTGGGTCTCTAAGATAAGTGACAATTTTCCAACTGAAGGATGGATATCAAAATAAGGTTTGAGGTTCAAGTCTAAAATCAAGGAGTCAAGAGCCAGGTGTGGTGGTACATGTTTGTAATCCCAGTCCTTGGCTAGAGGAAGTAAATATGATTCAAGTACATCATATACATATATGGACATGTTGTGATGAAACCTCCTACTACGTACAATAAAATGATGAATTTCCTTCCTCCAAATAAATTTGTTGTGTAAGAAGTATTCTCTCTCCTTCTGGTAGCCAATATTAATGTGTTTTTCTTTGACTTGAATGATTTTCATTTATAAAAGAGACATGGGCTGGTATTGTACCTGCTCTCAGAGAGTCCTTTGGAGCCCAGCAGTGCTATTCTTTTTCAAGGGAAAGCTAAAACTCTGTCATACCCATTTTGACCAGTCTGTGATGCATTGGTTGGGAGCCATCTCATTCCATAAGGGTAGGTGATCTTATCTTGAAGACAAGATTGTGGTTGTAGAAGAAAGACCATGTGGCTTCCTTGGTAATTTAGTAATGATTATTTTTGTATGTATGGTAAATCAGAAATTATAGATATTTGTTTTCTTCCTGTAGTGCATTTCATCGACTCTTGGTTCTTTTGCTGATAGATACAGTGTTGTTTAGAAGTTACTTTGTTTTTCTTTGGTCCTAATTTTCTTGTCTGAGAAACAGAAATTCTGTATGACTCCAAGCTCAAAGTGACTCCTACTGAAAGAGATGTATGTTTCTGGTCCTTAAGATGCTCTATCTTTACTAAGCAAGAGCATGCCAGGAATGGGCCTGGGTGACACAGTTAAGTGCAGTATATGACTTCTTTTTACTTATCCTTGTGCATGAGAAGAAAAGGCCTCAAAGCCATTACTGCCTTTCAAGTGGCTCTCCTGGGGTCTGTTTCTGGCCATCTTTGGGCGAGGGGCTTGGAAGTTTAGCTCTATGATGCTCCATCATCTACTCTGCTAGATGCACTGGGTGGGGAAGGGTGTCAGTCATTCTGGTAAAATTGAGTATAGATGCTTAGGCCTGTATGCATCATTTTCAGTGAAATTTAATCCTCAGAGCTTGCTGATGTCTGAGCTTTATGTTAGTGATATGAACCTTGACTCACCACATTGATCCTCATATTCATATATTTTCGATGACTTCCTCAAACCCACATAAGGCAGGACAAAGGGCAGGGGTCAGTAGCTAGACAAATATCTAAATGCCAACTGCTCAGCCAAAGTGTATATTGGATACAGAAGGGATAAGGTAGAGAAATGCAACACATAGTTATTTTTTTTTATGGAGCCTGTGTTTTCATAGGAAGTAGAATTGCTGGAGAGCTTTTGCTTGCATTATTTTAACCATGTATATGGTTGGTCACTTAGTCATTACCAGACGGAGAAAGTAATATCCTTTCACTGCCATATTTTGGTAGAAGCATTGTGAAGTAAGAAGATTGGGACATTATTTGTGTCTCAGAATTTCTTAGCCTATAAGATTGTTTTCATATTTTAAGGATCCAAGGGTGTTGGCCCTATTTGATCCTACTATTTGCTTAGAAAGCATTAGGTAGGGAAATATTACAATTCATATGTGTTTAATACTGTGTATTGATAACTTTTGTGCTATTAATATGTTTTTACTTTTTATTTTGAAATAATTTCAGACTTATGAAAAAGTTAGAATAATAGTACAAATAGTTTCTGTGTGTATTTTTTCTCTCACTTTGACACATTTCAGAGTAAGTTGCAGACTGGATTCCCTTTACCTCTAATTGTGCTTCAGTCTTTATTTCCCCCAAATAATGACAGTCTTATATAAAACAACAGTACAGTTTTCAAAATTCAGAAATTAACATAGATATAATATGGTTATTCACTTTTTATTGCTGAATTGTCAATTTCCCCACAGGATCCAATCCAGAATTACTTAATTGCTGTGTCTTCTTTAATCTAGAACAGTCTTTACAGTCTTTCTCTTTCCTTTACAATTTTGACACTTAAAAATATGTAGTATATATGTAAGTATACTATATATATATATACTTACAGTACTAGAGATTGGACCCATGGCCTCATGCATGCTAGGCAAGTGCTCTACCACTTGAGCCATGCTCCCAGCCTAAACTGGGACACTTTTGAAGAATACAGTCCAGTAATTTTGTAGAATGTCATTTGATAGAGGTTTATCTGATACTTCTTCATGATTAGCTTCACTTTATAGCACTTTTAGACAGCACATCCTGGAAATGATGCTGTGTTCTTTCTATATCACTTTGAGAGGTGCATGAGGTTGACAGATTCCTTTACTGGTGATGTCAGCTTTGATCACATGCTTTAGGGGTACCTGTCAGCTTCCTCGTTGTAAGCATAAGGGTTATTACTTAACAGGAGGGACATTGCACTCACTCATTACATTCAGCATCAAAAGGTAGGTATTTATTTACTGGACTGGGTCATTAAGCCATTTTTTTGAAGAAGTATTTGTGCTTTATGCCATTATGGCTATACATTCATATAGGATGTCAATGGTAGGAGTTTCCTATGATTTGTAAGCAGTCTTGGGCATGAGGTTCATTTCACTGGCAGATTTAGGCAGGAAGTGAAGATGGTACAGCTCTAGTTCTTCTTTCTGGGCTGGAAACAGCGATAGGCATGGCTTTATCCTTCACTGAATGACCTGCCTAACCTCTGAGCCAAATCTGTAAAGTGGAGCTGAAAACCTTTGCACTGTGTTGCACTGTGATTCTACATGGATCCACATGGGACATCTGACCACATGCATTAAACTCAGTGGGTGGTTTGACAAGCAGGTGCTTGGTACACAGTGATGTTATGTTTATCATGTCAATATGGAGAATAGTATTTTGGTTACAGAAGACTGGACATTTTACTAGTAGCAGTGAAAGTGAGAGTGAGGAAATTGTCCTGATAGTGGGGCATGGTGGCCATGGTGATGGAGATTGCTGGTCCAGTGGCTTTGGATAGAGAATTTCAGTTTTATTCCACTGCTATTACCTGTTCAGCTATTTTCATATGTTCTTTTTGGACCTGTTAAGGGCTTTCTTTCACTGCAGCAAACCCTATCCACCATGCAAAATGCCATGTGTGTATTTGTGAAGAGCCTAAGAGAAGTAACACTCAAATGCACACACAGCTCATATTCTTTCACAGCCTTCAGATCACATTCTTACCTGATTCCGTATTTGTTCTAAATAGCTGTGCATGAAGACGGAGGGCAGGTGTTACTATAACCCGTGAGAGTGAAAAAGTGAGAGGCAAAAGGAATTGCTTAGTCTTGTGGCCAATGAAGAGGCAGGAATGAACCCCATTTTTACTCTTGGTTCAGTGCTCTTTCTAATAAATTATTCCTTAGGAGGAAGAAGATGAAAAAGGAGTGGACAAGAATAAGCAGAGCTAAGTGGAGTGAACAGGAAAAGGGGGAAACATTTGCTATTCTCAAAGCAAGCTGTCCACTATTTAACACATGGGTCCACACCGCTCATGGCCACTAGGGGATGCTGTAAGCATCATTACAGAAACCTGGGAAGTTTGCCAGGGTATGAAGGGAATGAAGTGATAGAAGGGCTTTGGGGAGTTTGAAGGGGAGAGAGAGGGCTAGTAAGTGTTTGGTAGCATTGACAGTTGTTAAATACTGTCAGAAGTTTGGCTCTCATTCACAAATGGCAAAGGTAAACTGGGTAAGGTGGCTTATGCCTGTCATCCCACCTATTTGGGAGGTGGAGGTAAGAATCTGTGGTTGGCCTAGGACTGGAGGTGTGGCTCAAGTGGCTGAATGCCTGCCTGGCAAATGTGAGTGTGAGGCCCTGTGTTCAAACCCTAGTACTGCAAAAAAGAGAAAAAAAAGGGGTAATACTTAACCTGTGTTTGGGATAACTAATAGGCAGTTTATAACAAGTGGTTGGGACAAAATTCTCAGCAAATTGATGTTACCATAATTATAGTAAATTTTATTACTTTTATATTGCATATGTTGCTTCCATTATTAGAGTTTTTGTTATTATAATGCCATTGTTTATAAAAGTCTTAACATTACTGGTGCCATGGGGACACCACAGCTATTGTTCCTGTTTTTTGCTGCTGCCATAACAGCTGCTTCCAGCAGTGGACATTGAAGTGCAGGTATAGGATTACGTGAAGGGTGCAGTCCAGGGAGTGAAACTTG